CAACACGCCTTTGATCATAGCTGGAGGTGGAGGGGGAATTAAAAGAATGACAGAACAACATCCAGGATGTGATGCGTCCATAAACACAACAGGGAATGCAGGATACAACTCGCCACTGGGGTCAGGAGGAAGCAGTGGAGATGGGGGAGAAACCAGTGGTCAACTTCACGGTAAGCTGAAAAAGGAGAAAAATTCCATCAGTATGTTCAATTCACCACACAATAAGACGAAAATAAGATTAATCAAAACCTTATTTATTTAATTTATTAACTCTACATTTGAAGTTTTTCCTTTTCTCCACAATATCTGAAGTTCAATTGAGTTTCGCTTGTTCGCTTTTTAAAAATTCTACAAGGATGTTTATACACAGTTGACAAGGGTTTCTATCGGCTAATTGAGGATTTAAACTAAACAGCTGCAATAAACCGAGTATAACGCAAAATTGTAGTGCTGACTTGTTGTCAAATTTTATTAACATCCAAACATAAAGAAATAAACTTAAACAAAATATTACGAATCGCTACGGAAGAGTCAATAATTACTAGGTGTTTTATATGGGAGATCACTGATTAGGTTTTTATCATAGTAGGTGGTGGAGGTGGCGGCTTCTTTAGTAATGGAAAGACTGCAAACTGTGGAGGGGGACAAGGTGGGAAAGGAGGTAAAGGATATCTCCAGGGAGGAGAGGGCGGAGCGCATCAGGGTGGATTCGGAGGTGGCGGTGGTTTTTGTGCAAGGAAGAACGGAGCTGGTGGTGGTGGTGGTTACTCTGGGGGAGATGGAGGTAGGAGTAACGCTAAATCTTGTGGGGAGGGAGGAGGATCTTTTAACAATGGGACAAATCAGCAAAATGAATGTTGTTATAACAGCAATGAACATGGTCGAGTGGTTGTCACATTTCTTCAGTGAAATGCACATTGTAGCAAGTTCCTCAAAGTGAAGTGGATATTCTGTTTTAAAGGCTGATTGTTGTTAGTTTTCAAACACACTAAAGATTTGACTTTGATTTGAACTACTTTTTGTTAAGGGATTTAAGGTGTACACTAACCAGCTCAACCCTTAGATTTTAAAGTCGTTTGCAAGTTTAGATCCAAGTTTAGATCTACAAACAGTATCTGCTGGAATAGGTCCTTTTTTGTGAATATTTTTACCTTAAGGAATTTATCTTCTACAAAACCTGTAAAACTTTTTCCTTCTCTGAGGTTCAGTGGAAACAAATAATGCTTTTTGTGAGCATTTTTAAAACTTTCACCTGTTTATCAAGGTCTAGAGTGCCTGATCTATCAATAAAAATAATTTTGTAGCGACGGACAAAGTCTCCAAGATCAACTTAAGAGCTCGTCACACTTTACATCTAAAGCAGCGAAGAGTCCGGAAAATTAGGAGAGGGAGTCACTGATATGTACGAGGTGGGCATCTACAAAACAATATCCATGTCTTTAAATGCCAAAAACTGTTTGGCTCCGGACTAGCCGAGCTTGCTAAATGATAATAGTTAACGTTGAGTCAGTGATTAAGAGAGCTTTCAGTGTGACCACAGTACGGGCTCACATGGAGAGGATCAGACTTGTTCAATATTTGTCGCCAAAACTATGAGGCTATTGACTGTGGGATCCGAGCCTATCTTCATTTGTTTTATTCAGTTTATCTTTATGAGCATTTTTATTCTGAAATAAAAAATACAAGAGCAACTGTTCAAGGCAAGGTTAATAAATGAATGCGTTATGATCCAGCCGCTTTTTGAAAAAAAATGCGCTTTTTTTTTTAACAATATCCATGTCTTTAAATGCCAAAAACTGTTCGGCTACTGACTAGCCGAGCTTGCTAAATGATGATAGTTAAGGTTGAGTTAGAGATTAAAAGAGCTTTCAGTCTGACCACAGTACGGGCTCACAGGGCGGTTGTTCAATGTTTGTTGCCAAAAGTATGAAGCTATTGACTGTGGGATCCGAGCTTATCTTCATTTTTTTTATTCAGTTTATCTTAAAAAATACAAGAGTAACTGTTCAAGGCAAGGTTAATAAATGAATGCGTTATGATCCCGCCGCTTTTTTGTCATTCTGGAAAGTTTTCTGATGGTGAGCCACGAATTACTTTAGCTA